CGGACAACAGAAGAGGAATAAAATGAAGGGTACTAAGGTGGCTTCTGGTGCGGCTGAGCCCGAGTCTTCGGTTCCTTTTGTTTAAGAGGAGATCCATCAGGGCTCTCCGAAGAAGTTAAAAACTCTTATGAGCAATGACATCTATCGGGAGGATATGGAGACTACCTCGTTGATGCAAGACACCAGGGAAGACAATTCTAATCCCACTAGGGAGTTCAATTTTTGATCCAATAACTTTGACGAAATCTAGTTCTTCTATGAAAATCTCAACGCTAAAGAGGATGTAACCAAAGTGAAGACCATAGGTCACTAAAAAGGCTTCAAAACATCAACTCCTACCTCATGAGGTGCACCATTTTGTCGCGGGATATTTTTGAGTTCGGAGATGATTACGAGAAGGCTGAGTTGCAGCTCAAAGAGGAGATTACCCAGTTGAAGGACGATCAGAAGACCAAGTCTGAGAAGATAGCTTACTTGGAGAAGAGCTTATATGCGAAAAGGAAGCAGAGGGAGACCTTGGAGTCGGAGAGTAGGGCTTCCCTTTTCCAGCTTACTGATAAGCTGGAGTCGGCCAAGACTACCAACAATTAACTTAAGGAGTCCTTTAAAAAGTCCCAGTTGGATGTCCTCTCCGTCGGCGACTTGGCTTTTGATAGGGCTAAGGACCAGGTGTTATGTCCTCACCCCGACTTGGATTTATCTGAGGTGGATTTCTTTAAGGTGGTGTAGGATGACTTCCTTGTAGACCTCGAAGAAATGGAAAAGAATCCCTCTCCTCAGTCGAATCTTGAAGATCTTTCTGGCGAGGAGAACAACAACAACAACAATAATGATGATGACGAGAAGGAGAACCCAATTGCATGATGTTATTTTCTGGTTATGTTTCTGTTAGTCATCTGATAAGGATGCAATTATGTAATTTTGTTTAGGGAGTATGGTTTTGTCCCCCCCCCCCTTTTTGTTATGACTATGACTTTTGTCTGCGAGTTTTGTATTTAAAATGCCTTTCGTGGCTTTATAATCGTATTGTCATTTTACTTTTATTTATTTGCTTGATTTTTTAGCTTTTAACACAACTTAAAAGTAATCATGTGTATGTATTTAAGTCCCTCGGGCACAAAGTCCTTTGGGCTATATGTCTTTTGATCATGTAGTGACGGGTATTATTTTAAGCTTAAGAGTCCCAACGACTTTCATGTATTTTGTTTGGGATTTCTTCAAACGATTTACAGCCCCAGTCGGGTTGTAGACTCAAATTTATCTTTGATATATGCGAAAGACATCTTGGGCCCAAAAACCACTAAAGTGTCCTTTTCGTCCGGGTTATGTCATAAGCGAGAGGTTTCTCGGATACAAAGTCTACAGGAGTAAGCATGTAGGAGCTATACACCCGACTTTATATCACCTTCAGCTGTTTTGATGAAGTCAACCACAATGTCTCTTTTAAGCATATTAGAAATCCACCTACTATATTTCAAATGTACAAATCTGAAACTGTCTGTGATACAAAAACAGTTTTAACAGATTTTCTGTTTTTGTTCATTTTAGATATGGTGCACCCCAAGATGTTCCCAAAGTTGTTGTAAAGATTTTGGGCAATGTGAATGACAATGCTAAGCCGGATGAGGTGAAGGAAGACATTAAAAAGATTGATGTCGAGATAAATGTTCGGCAATAATTTACAAATGATCAAATTTTCAGTGTTTGTTAACATATGTTTGAATGGGTCTAAATAAAAACACAACTACCAATAGAGTCAAATATGCACATTCAACATTGAAGAAATGATTGGGTGATAGCAAGGGAGATCTTTGTAGAGAATGGAACACGGATAACAAAATACTCCAAAACCAACAAAATAAAATTCAAACAACTTTTGGTTGGAGCATAAATGTGGTAGAACATTGATTCAAAAACAACACTCTCTACTCGGAGTTGATTCTCAACATATCACAGGCGGTATTAAACTTCATTTTTCATTAAGCGAAGCGAGCGGAGACGACGGAACTAGATAGTTCGAAGTATGAATATATAATTAAGAAAATAAAAATATTCTCCTCTATCATCTTCAAAGCTTTATGTCCAATAGAGAAATCCATCACCCATTAAAACCCAGAATCACATCACCACCCTTCACATCACCACCACAACATAATCCATCCAAAAAATTTCATTCCTTATTTATCCTTCTTCTTCAACCATTTTCACCACCATCTATCAACAATATCTAAAATCTAAGCAAAGAAAAAAAAAGCATATTCAAAAATCTAAAATTTCAGATCCATTTTGTTTTGGTAAAGTAAGAGTTTTGTTTGAATTTCAGAGTTTAATTTTTTCCAGATCTAGAAAACGACGCTATATAAACCATAACATGTGACCTTCATGTTGCGAAAATACTTTTTCTCTGCAAATGTTTCTTCGATTGTCTTGATAACATAAGGACAAAAATAGATTATGAAACCTGAGGCGGTGATAAAGGATGATAAAGGATGAAGAAGTTCTTCAATATCAATTTTGTTTTTCTTGGATTTTGGTAAACATGCACCATCATTTCTTGGATTTTGAACCGCAATGTGGTGGTTGAAAGTACATTTTTACAAATTTAAAGGACTAATTTATTATTAAAAAATGATATAGATTAATCTGTTACAAACATGTAACATAAAAGACAACAAACAAAATACATTTAGCCACTAGAATATTAAATAAGTCCCAAGGAATCCATAATTGAATAATAAGAATTAGTACTGTTATCAAAATTGTTACTATGCAAAATCTGTTATAATACCACAAACCAATAAAGTGAAATCAGCCAAAACCCAAAATTAATGGAATGTGCCTTACATAAATGGATTGTTGGTCCCAGTACAAGTGAATGAACTCAATGAAACCCAGAACCTCCTAAACATATAAAGTGAACTCAGCTCCAAAACATTGTTCTTTTGAACGAAATTTCAAAAACTGTAACCTAATTAAGAGGTATCAGGAGCCTTATCTTAGTTAAAAACATAAGCAAATGGCAACATCTTAAGGGGCGTATTTCATGATGACATGAAAGTTCAACACTTCAACCAAACTATTAGATGAAGAGGTATATAAATAAACACAAACACAATCAAAATAGTAAGAAGCATCAATCTACAGATCAAATAAGGGAGAAATCCATACAACCATCTTGAACTTTGACCATTTTGCATTGATGCCATGAACGAAGAAGAATTTAAATTCATTTCAATTTTGCAAAAGGATCAAAGTTTCAGGGTTATATAGTCTCCCTCATATATTATTGCTATGTAGATCAGACACCAGCATTTTGTAATTTTTTAACAAGGACTTGGCAAATTTGAAATGATGGAAACAGAAAGACCAACTGAATTTTTTTTTCTGTTCCTTCAAAATACATAAAAAGAGATAACCTACTTTTCCAATGTTCATAGGCTGCCATCTTCCTATACAAATCTGTACGCCTATAGAAATCCACCAAGAATTCACCTGGCTTTACATGCAACAAGAAACAATGGAAAAAGCAGTGGAAGAAAAATACTAATTGAAGTTCAGAGATGCTTTTGCAGACAAAAAGACAACCAGACACAATCAACAAAGGCAGTAGAGCTCAATAGAACAAAAATTAGCTTCATATAAAGGGATCAGTATTCTACTCACATCATTTTCGTAAACAAATAAATGGAAATCACTACACCTAGTTGGCCATATTTTTCCAGGCACCCAAAATCTCTATATCAACATTATTACATCATACGGCCCGACATTTCGGTGCTGTACTTGGAATAGCAAATAGTATATAAAACATAACTAGGATCAGTATAAATTTACCTTAAATTGATCAAAGTCAAATAAAAATAGATCATTGCAGTACCTGCAAAACCAATTAAGTGGCATAGAAATGCCATTTAAGTGTGAATCAATACAAACGATCAGTCTCTAATTTGTAAATGTTTTAAGGAACTTCATTTAACTATCGCATGTAAAGAGCTTCTAGATGCAAAATCTAAATGATTCAATAACATAAAGTAATAGAGGCCGAAATAGAGTTGCATGACATAATTTAACTATAATACAACAAATAGACTTCTGGATACTGATTCAAAGCACATCTGTGAGTTACAATTAAACCAAAAAATGTCATTCATTTTCAAAAAATACCATAAAAATCAACTACATGCCGAATTTCAGATGTGCTTTAATTTAGCACTTCACGGTGAAGTGCTTCCTCTGATTAAGTGATTACTAAATGATAAAACCTATGGGAAGATGTTTCTTTATTTTACTAACGAGCTATCAAAAAATATTTTAATACTTGAACATTACCATATTTGTGCATACAAGTTTTCAACAAAAGTAAACAAATACGTAACCTCAAGAGAAACATAAAAGAGAACTTAAAGAAGAAATAAAGTCGGGTTGAACCAGAGAGCGTAGTTGTATAGATTCCACATTTCCATCTCCTATCCTAAGTGCAGAACAGTGATCTGGAATTTCTCGCAATAATACAAAAGAGCATAAATGAAATTTATCAGAAAAAACCCACTCCCTCCCTCTCTCGATGCTTTTAATTGTTTCCTCTAAAAAATCCCTGCCACTGACCTTTCTTATTCCTCTTGAGGCAACTTAAAATCCCATTTTTACCTTATTCACATCTTGCTTGGTACTAAATAACTTTAATTCTTGTAGGCCAACACAACCATTACAAACCCAACTAGAAACCATAAGGATGGAAGAAAAATCTCATGAGTCCACTCAACCATAAATGTCGGGCATCTACAATTATACACAGAAAAATCTGGCACAAGCAAAATCAACTTCCATCCCTTAAAACCAAAGAACACATTAAAGAATCTATGTCAATGGAATAATGTATGGATGGGGGAATCTTTGTGTTTGTCTTTGAGAATCCATCTCGCAAAACTAGCCACAAAATAACTGATGTACAACATCAGCTATAACTTGTGTGTTGTATTAACAGGTAGATAATCACACTTTCAAGTAGCTTCTTGTAGCGCAGAAGGATAATCCTTCCAAGAGTCAATAACCCCAAAAGCAAGGGCTATTAACTCGTTTGATAAAAGGAAACCATTTGGATCACTTAGCCTCATATAGGCCACTCTCCTTTCTGAGTTAATATCATTCAAAAGAGAATTGTTGATATCCTCTATTTTAATGGCTCTCCTTTGCTCGTCCAAGAAAACCATGTGTCCACTCTCAACATAAGGTTTATAAACCTCAAACAGAGAATAAACCAGAGAGCTTCCAAATGATTCTTGGAAATGCTTCAAATCTAGACCTCTTGCAGTTCTCAGGGACAGCATCACAACATCCAGGGCAGTGTCCTTGGTATTAATGTTGTCATCAGATGAGCTATTTACTGATCCATTTTCAAGATTTTCCACAAATTTCATGTACTCGTTCAACTTCCTGGGTCTTGCAAACCTTAACCCACCAACAAAACTAGTAGAGCCAAGGCCAAAGGCATAGAAAGGCTTGTTCTTCCAATAGGTAAAGTTGTGTTTGCATTCATACCCATTCTTACAGTAGCTGCTGATTTCGTAATGGTTATAACTTGCATCACAAAGCATCCTTGAAGCCATCTTATAGAAATCAGCTGATTGTGTCTCAGAAGGCAGTGGAAATTCCCCTGGTGCATACCTGTCAACATTTTCAACGTAAGTTTTCAAACCATCATATAAAAGCTTAACAATTGAACCTAAAGAATACCAAGTTGCAAATGCAAGAGTAAATCACCAATTTCAACCTAAAGTTACACTCTTTTCGTCTTTGTCATTGAAGTAAATAAAAATAATGCCTAGCAATAGTAAGTAAGTAGTCTTTAAAGTTTGATCACATTAGTCCTGAGATTTGGAAGATAAAATCTAGATGGGTTTAAGTTTAGGCACGGAATTGGTGGTTTAGTTGCTAGTGTAAAATCTAGATATCACTTACAAACTTCCAAATTTTGTGCCTTGTTCAATTTGCAAATCATAAACAGAAACATGAGTTGGCTGTGCCTCAATGGTGAGTCTTAGACTTTCCTCCCACATGTCACTAGTCTGATGAGGCAGTGAAGCAATAAGATCAATACTCCAATTCTCAACCCCACATTTTCTGACAATATCAATAGCCTCATGAACCTCTTCCAAACCATGTGCTCTGCCACAACTCTTCAAAAGCTTCTCCTGAAACGCTTGAACTCCCAAAGAAACTCTGTTCACTCCCAACAACATCATATCTTCCATCTTCTTATAATCAAACGTACCGGGGTCCATTTCCATTGAAATTTCAGCACTTTCACTCAACCCAAATTTCATCTTCAGTGTCTCCAAAACCGAGGAAACCATACTTGGAGGAACCAAAGAGGGTGTCCCACCTCCAAAAAAGACCGTTTGAAGAGGCGTCTGGGAGTGGAGTTTTCCATCTAGTTTGGTTGCGTTGATTTCTCTGCAGAGCCATTGTATGTAGTTTATAACACGCGGGTCGTCGTGTGTTTGAGTTGAAGCATGGCCAAGGGCGACAATGGGGAAGTCACAGTAGTGGCAACGTTTTCTACAGAAAGGAAGGTGAATATAGGCTGAAGAAGGGGTGATGATGGGGTTGGTAGAGGAATTTTGTCGAACATGTGGTGTGCTGTTTGAAAAGGTGTTTGTGATGAAGTGTGATGATATATTTGGTGATTTTGGTTTGGGCGATAGCGCCCAGTAAATAGGGGTGAATGCTGATTTCAGCATTGGTGGACACTGGACAAGAACAGAGGTCGAGTTACATGCATAGACTCGCTGAAAAAGAGCGATGAATAGCACCAGTGTGTGACATAGAGATGAACCGGAGCGGCGGAGCTCCACGTCTTTCTGTGACAAATTGCTTATAATTTTCCACAAATATCTACTCTCAATTTAATTTTTTTTTTTGCACTCACATTTGTTTGAAGACTCAAATAAAAATAAGAAACTGATTGAAAAAGAAAAAAATTAAAAATAATTATAAAAGATAAAATGTAAACAACAATATTATAAAAAATATGATATTATAACTAATATGATTAAAAATAAAAATTATTGAAATTTATATTAAATAAATCAATTGTTTTAATTTTTTTACAAATAAAATGATTATTTATAAGAAAAAATACAATTTTAAAATATCTACTCAATCTTTTTTAATAAGATTCCTTAATCTCTTCACATATTTGAAAAAAATAATAATCAGTCATAATATCGTTATACAATAGTATTTTTTTATATATATATATTTTTTAATAAACAATGTATTTTTTATCGTGTATAAATATTATTTTTATTTTAATATTATTTATAAAAATTTAAATTAAAAATAAGGTTATTCGTGTATATAAAAATATTTTAGTCAATCATATTTTTTTTCATGTATTATTTTTGTTTTGATAAAACTTATAAAAATATTTAAAATAATTTTATTAACTAATTGATAAATGATACTGAATTATTTTTTATTTTATGTTTTATAATTTATTTTTAATTTTATGTTATATTTTATATTTTAAAATAGAAAAATGAAATATAATGTAGATATTATGAAATTTAAAAAATATTAAAGACTATCTTAAATGAAATTTATGATATTTTAGGTTAGTTAAAAAAATTCTACTAATCAATCCATTGTAAGTGTGATTGGAAGAAAATTATTTAATGTCCGAACTAACATTCATATCAGATTAGACATAGATCAGATGATATAATAATAAATTAAAAAAACAGTTAAACTTGATTTACAAAAATAGACCAAATGTCATTTATATATATTTTATTATTCGTAAACGAATAGGAATGAGTTTGGTTTAGTAAAGTGTCTTTTAAAATCCTAACTAATTAGCATAAAGTGAAAGAAAAAAACCTGATTTACAATGACATTTGAAATATAATTAATAAATACTCCCTCCGGTCTCATTTATAAGAAAAAATCAACTTTTTAGATACATTCAATAAGTAATGTATTTGGACAATATATTGTCCAAATACATTACTTATTGAATGTATATAAAAAGTTAATTTTTTCTTATAAATGAGACCGGAGGGAGTATGTACATACGCATAAGATACGTTTTTGGGTGGAATATAATTGCCATCTTCAAAATGCCTCCAATGTGCAACTTCAAAATGAACGTGTGATGTTGCTTAAATGGTAGGAGTTTGCAAAAGAAAATAAAGATAATTCATATTTAGAGATCTAAATGATATAAATAAATGATTTGTTTCTCCTAGATAATAACAATATGTCTTGAGTTTCAATATTATGCAACACAATAAATGTATTGTCATACAGAAACAACATATAATATTAAGAGCATTCGTCATTGCATGTTTATTAAATCTACTAACTCTTTAAAACATACTTCCACCCATATTATTTCCGTTTCAATGTTATGTATGGCATGTCATTCTATTTCTACCACATCAGATATGTGAGATCCAGAATCCACAACACCATCAGTGAAGTCAAATTCAAGTTCCTTCGGCAGATTTGGATCGGTTATTATGGACTGAAGAGATAATGGAAGGCTTAATAGGGGTTTTGTTCAAGTAAATGAATGTATAATAAGTTGTAAAAGTATCAATGAATATATCAACTTTTATCTTGCTTTTATGGATGTATAAATGTTGAAAGTCAAATTCATCATCACTGAAGGACATAATAAAGGAGACTTAATGATTGCATTTCATTATGGCATTATTGTACTCCGTACAATATTAAGCACAGCTTATACATGCATGCATACGAGTTTAGATTAAGAACGCGGTGAGAGCGGTCACAGGGCCATAATTTTATTAATATTTTTAGAACAAACTAATAATTTCTTGGTCATGTGTATTGGAGAGTTCGAAAGAGTCGAGAGTATCAACGAAATTAATGTTTCAGAACCACAACATAAACGACGAAATGTGGTGTTTGTCTCTCTTGTAGCTCTGAAGTATTTGTTATATTGGTGCTCGCGACTCTCCCAGACTTCTTAATAGTGATATTAGAGTCGTGGTTCGGTTCCAACAATGGTATCAGAACCGTAATTTAACTTGAAGCGGTCAGTGTAAACCAACACACAATAGCTCATATAAATAATAGATTATATCTTAAAAGAGTAATGTAATGCACATAAGTTATTTAAATTACCATCTTCTTTGAAATGACATAGCCCCTGATAATACAAAGGTATAAGGCATGCATGTTGACACAATAAAAAGGAGAAAATAAAGAGTCAAATAAGGCTAAAGTTGTCCACCTGTAGTCCCCATCAAAGGGCAACTTGTCCTCGTGTCTTTCCTAATTTCTTTGTAACCTTTTTGACAACTGAATTTTGCATAATTTCACTTTTGAATACTCCTCATGAGCCTAGAGGAGAATATCCTTGAAAAGATAATTATCAAATAGATTATTACAGTGAATATCAACAATAGTTTGACGAAATTGTGAGAATTAAAATTATAACATTCATATATACCTTTGGCGCACGTTTATAGCAGATTCGTCAGGGAGGTCGATCATGTTTCGCTTCTGTGAGATATTGGATCGAACTCTAGTATGGTCGAAGGGGTAGCTTCTGGTCCGACAGGAATTAAGCATGAGGTCAAAGCTTGTTCGCATGTTGCTGTCAAAATAGTATGTGTTATAGTCAAAGTTGTTCTAACATGCATTAGTCGATATTCGCTAGGATTGTTAGCATGTCGAATTGGGCTTGTTCATAAAATTTCAATTGTTTAAGTTAGTTTGTTCTCTAAGTTAGCTTGTGTAATGTGCATGTGTGTAAAAACTCATTAGTTTAGTATGTTAGTTTTCTTATAAATAGCATACTAGTCTGTCATCATTGCACAATACAAATCCTAATTAGGGTGAGAGAGGTTATTTGTTATTTTGTAACACTTGTAATCTTGTTTCAAAGAAAACATAAAAGAATAGCAGTTTATAACCAATTCATTGAGTTTTTCTTGCTTCTCATTTTTCTTTACCCTTGTGAGTTTTTTGGTAATCAACAATTCGTTTATACTCTGTTCTAGGTATTATTTTTCACAACAAATTAGTACGGTAAGCATGGAGAAGATGTCGTCAACAAAGTATGAGATTGAAAAATTCGCCGGAGTGAACAATTTCAGTTTGCGGCGATTGAAGATGAAAGCCCTACTGGTTCAACATGGTTGTTTAAAAGCGTTGAAGGGAGTCACAGCCATGGACGCTGTGTTAAAGGATACAGAAAAACACATATGGTAGAGAAAGCCCACAACACCATCTTATTGGGCCTTAGTGATAAGGTTCTTCGACAGGTTTCGAAGGAGGCGACGACGTCGGGTCTATGGGAGAAACTTGAAAGTTTGTACATGATTAAATTGTTGGTCAATCGCCTCTACCTAAAGCAAGTTCTGTATTCATTCATGATGAGTGAAAGCCAAGTCCCGTCTGAATAGTTGGATATGTTCAACAAGCTGATTTTTGATCTTGAAAATATTGATGTCGAAATTGAGGATGAAAATCAAGCGCTGTTATTTTTGCGTGTTTTGCTCAAAACACATGCTCACTTCAAAGAAACTCTCTTGAATGAATGAGAGTCACTGGTCTTTGAAGAAGTTCAACCAGCCTTGTACTCTAAGAATTTGAACAAACAAAAGGAGCACAAGCCATCTTCAACAGGTGAAGGTCTATCGATTAAGGGAAAATTCACAAAGAGAGATGACAAGTTCGACAAGAAAAAAGGTAAAAGTCAACATAAGTCTTATAGTGGTGATGCATCTAGCATTTGATGTTATCATTGTAAGAAGAAGGGTCATACAAGAAAAGTGTACCTTGAACACCTGAAAGATCATATAGGTAAGGATAATGGCAACACATCCATTGTCCAAGATGATTTCGACTCATCTAACTAATAATAATTTAAGGAGCATATTAATTCAAAAATGACATAATTATCCTTAGTTTCTTGTATGTAAAGCGGTTTGAATTGGTTAAATTAGTAAAAATGATGGTAATTAAGTTTTATAGATTGATAGTAGATTTTCAATCAAAATACAAGACCTTGTTAGTACAACTCTCAAAATTAAAAAGGTATAATAACATAAGATATTAAAAATATTAGTAAAGGATTCGTGCGTTCGCACGGGTCACGTAAAGTCGATATAAATATTAAATAAAGATTGTATAATTATGATTAAGAAATGTATATAAAAAATATACGAATTAAAAGAAAAAAAGCTTTAAATAATGATTATCACATAAATTTTAATTTAATATATTAACTTGTAGTAGTTGTCAAGATATACATAGAAATTATGTTGAAAATATGAGTATATAGTCTAGTACAATTTACACACATATATAAAATTAATTATCTACACGCGTGTTTGCATGATTGTGTAATATCATTATAAATAGCAAATAAATATAATATAATGATGGTTAAGAAATGTATATAAAAGATATACAAATTAAATAGTGTTGACCCGTTAGAAATATATATTTTAATAGTTTAAGATGTTTAAGGTATTCCCTAATAGAATAATAATGAAAATAAAAATCAGAAAAAACAAAATTTAAATACCCCTATGCGTGTCACGCTTTCATTTATTTTCATCTCTTTGTTCACCGTCAATTCGTTCTCTTTTCATCTTTCTCTCCTTGTTCTCAAACTCACTCTCTCATTCTCTGTTTTTTCAAAATCTCATGAAAACAAACAACAACAATCATGCTTTCATTCTCACAGTTCCTTATCTTG